GGAATGGTCTCTATATAGGATATAGTGGCAATTGGCTGCTAGAAAGAACAAAAAACATCCTTTTTCTAAATTGCACCAAAAAATTTCCGGTTTTTTTTGTTACACACTGTATATAGTAAATTTGTAAAATAAATAATGATAAATTTTCCTAATGTTGATGCTCCATGAGCAAATTTGAAACGTGTTTGTTAACGTGATCATTCAAATTCAAATCCGAATATATATATTAAGATTTAGATCTGATTGTAACATCTATTGTACAACAACTTAAATACTTTACATGATCTATTAAACTCCTCATTATTCAACCCGGATTGCAAACCTTGTTCACTACAATCAATATCTTCTATCAAATAATTATAACAGTTTTTTTACATGGTTCTTCATTTGGATTAACTTTTTCAAACAAAACTTTGAAAAATTTTTCTATAATATTCAAGTTCCTTTAAAACACAACCAAAAACAAAAAGTAATTAGATAAAAAAAAAGGTGCTCGTTAACTTTATTTTATAATTTTTTATGAAGAATAATCAACCTTATTTGTATTGAATGATTTTCCTAAATAATTTATTATTTATTGTATTGTTAATGGAGAAACAATATAAAAAAGAAGATTTACATAGAGAAAGAAGCCGGCGAGAGAAAAGACAATAACCGTCGATTAAAAACAATAAGATTGTTTATCTCTTATTTCGTGACCTTGGACTTCTTAGACAAAGGCTTCGTCGGATGGAGGGATGCAGTATTCACCAAATATAATTGAAGGACTCTACTAGAAAATCCCTTTGTTAATGAACATTCTACTACCATAATTCATGATCACCACTAACATCACAAGCAAGCAAATTATATTCTTTTCTTGAAAATAAGTGTACGACTGAAGCTACACACGCGTTCACAAAAGAAATCAAACAATTTATTAATTGATTCGTTTTTTTTTATATAATTTCACACTGAATAGTACACAAGGATGAAAATGCTGATTATAATGTAAAGAATTTGATGGCGGTGTAAGTGGTCTCAAGTTCATTTGATATAATTTGTTAATTTAATTTTAAAACCTAAAGGATTTTATGATTCAGAGAAAAAGCATTTCACTATTTGAAGTTCAAATTTTCTATATATCAAGTTTGGAATCATAGATCTAGATGATAATACAAAAAAAAACAATCATTTGTATTCAATCAACTAAACTTAAAAATTTTATGAATCTTTACCCGGGAATATAAACAGACCTAAATCATTAAAATACAACAAATATGAAAATTTCAAAATGATGATTTGATTGCACTTCACATTGGAAACAATTAATCTTTTCATATAAATTTTTTATTTTGCAACAGATGAAAGCTATTTCATTCAAATTGCATCTATCTTGGATGCTTTTGATTTTATTATATTGCCGTAACATATAAAGTTATCAAAAATATGTTATTATAGTTCAATAAATCTTGAAATAGAGAATGCGTTGGTTCTTGGTACTCAACTTTAATCCATAGTATTGGAAAAAGAATTTGTACAAGCCAAAAATGTAATCATAAAGACGAAAATAAGATAATATCTTATTATACGCTAAATTGGTAATTATAATTATTGTTGGACTTTTAACTAAGAAATATATGTAATTTTTATTATATAGATGTATTGAGATGATATGATCAATTATGTATCTTGCCGAATCTGGAATATATATCAATTACAATTGTTAAAATAGAATTCCAAATGTTTTCGAAGCATTGCCATTTTGAAAAAAAGCGCTGGTAAATTTAGGGGGTGGATATTTTATTGCTATTACTATAATAAATATTTAGGCTACTGTTTACGAAGTATCTCAAATCTATAAATATACTTTGATGCATGAACGTCACAAGATCAAATTGCGTGGGATTGTAAAAAGTACTATCAACGATTATTAAAGAAGAAGAGAACAATATAATTTATTTTTCTTTTTTGCTAATGAACAAGTATAAGATAAATATTAATTGACATAAATAATAATATAATCCATATAATATGATGTGACATAAGAGATAGTTCATTATTTCGTAAAGGCGCATAGTCAAGATCAATTGCAAACATTGTTTACAGGTTGAATACATTCTCATGAAAGACAGATATGCCTTTTGAAAGTTTCTCTCATTATTGAATTTTAAGAAGGGAGAAATATAAATGAAGCATTCAGAAAATTCCCAAAGTTCATTGGCATTCTTCAATTTATTGGAAGTTAAAATTTTGTTCATCCCGGAAGTAAGTACAAGGAGACTTGTTTGCAATTTAGGATTGACGAATTTGATCATGACTTTATGTCCTTCTAGAGAGTTAGAGTCAAATTATGTAATAAATAATATTAATAATTACTTTTCACAAGGTTTAGAATGGTCATAACTTATGCATCGAGTAGGCAACAGTATTTTTACTGTACAAAAAGTAAATCAATTTTGTTACGAAGATTTTAATTAAAATTTAAGCTTAAACTTTGAAAAATCGAGAAATGTAAATAAAGCATTCTATTTTTTATAAGTATTAGATTCCTAGGATATCTGATATGATTACGGGCAATAAAAACATATAAATCGAAATACTAAGGATGCAAGTATTAATATACTTCTATTGTATTAACTAGAAGAGCCAACTGAGATGTGCTATTCATAGCAACTCTGATGTTTTTTTCGCGCCAATGTTTGATGTTATTAAGTGATGAAATAATTAAATACAGCGAGATTAAAGAAAAGTTCAAGTTAAGGTGGTAGTATTATTGTTTTTATTAATTCAACTAATAATGATCAAAATGTAAAATAGAATAATACTGATATCTAAAATGCGTAATCATAAAATTATTAATATCTATGCGCATTTGTTATCTTTACATAACTTACTGCTGCATGCTTCATTCACCATGCAAATAGTTACAGCCTTACGAGTATCGGTAAGTTGACATTTCTTGATATCATTACCAAGCACACGACAAACCTTAGTTATACAACTATCGTCATCGGAGACGCTGTTGCAGGGTTGTCCTATGTTAGCTTTACATGTTTTACTACTAGGATCACATACTTCTCCAGTATCACAATCACCATTTTTCGAACAATTAAGAACTGATAAATGTGCACAAACAGTTAATAAATATCAAGATATAAATTTACAAAAAAAGATTTTCTGTGAATTTGCAAAAAAATTGTTTAGTGCGTGCATTTAGAACAGATTAAGATACATACATACTCTTCTTTTGATGAGCCTATTTCTACCGTTGATGCTCATTGCGCCAACAAAAATTATAGAGAAAAGTGTTGCAAAGAGCAGGATTAAAATAGTTTGTTTCATTATTGAAAATTTGAAGCGAGTAATTAATATTAATGATAAATGAAATAGTTGTTTCTAAAGTGAATTTGCTTTATGATTTTTGCAAAATGTATTTATATGTTTTTATTTAGTAATTTGATAATAATAATGTATTTCCCCGCCAAAAATCATCTGCAATCGCCAATGAGGATAACCTACCAATAAAATTGGATACTTTCATGATGTTGCGCAAAATTGCGGATGATTTTTGCGGAAAAATACATGATTTTAATTAAATGTTTCACGTTTGTAAATGAGTGGCCAGTTTTCTAATAAATTTCAATGCTCCTGCCGTTTTGCACTTACTATACTTTAATTATTTTTGCAAAAAGTATAGGAATATTGTAAATTGAATGTTTCACATTTAATTCGCTTTAACTAAATTTCAACATTTCTGCCGTTTCGCACTTACTATACTTTGATTCTTTTTGCAAAAAGTATTGATTTATTAAACAAACATAATCACTCTTAATTCCACCCAATTAGATTCATTCAAAAACAAGTTGTTCGAATACAACATTTGCAATAGAACGATAGGAGTCGTTACCAAGAGTATAGACAACAATAACGTCGAGGCCACCACCCCAACAACCGAACATATTGTTAGGTTCAATGTTCAGAAAACCACCACGAACTTTGAAATTAACGGAGTACATGTCTCGAGACACTAATTCCCTTTATAGAACGCTTTTGAATTAACCGTCCACAAGACCCAAGGCCTAACGTTGCTGCACGTCACTTTGACCAGATTTGCCCTTAGTTAGATCTATGTGACGATGAGTCGATCCCCTTCCTGGAATTCGATGGACATTTTTGATTTCGACTTTGGTTCCTTGAAGGTAGATGAAGATGTGATAAGCGGCGAATACAAGAGATTGAAATCCTTAAACAAAAAGGGTCCAATAGAGATGAGTCGACGTTGATTTGGTTTTTTGCAATAGTAAATAGATGTTAAAAATTTGTCGAAAGAATTTTTTATTGAACAATTTTTCATAAACTATTTTGTATAATTTCGTATCACCATGATAATAATAATAATAATTAATTGCATCAAAGAAAGAAAAATTCAACTTTTTTATTATAAGTTGTATCCAAATAAGGTAAAGCAACTTTTATGTCATATGAAAGCATAACCCGCATAAAAATTGAAACCCTAATTTAGTAACAGACATCTTGATTTCACCTGTTTTCTTTATACGCATTAGACTATTAGTGCAATCATTTCGTTTACATTCATTATATTAGGGATATTTTGATTATATCGAGAGATATGGTCAAGAGAAGAGTTGGGAAGAGAGTTATTCTTCAACCAAGCCGAAAACCAAACCTTTAAATACGGTTTTGAATGTACAAGTTAATTTATTAGACTATTTCAAAGGTTTGTCGCATGATTGCTTCCAACTTCATAAATTCGAACCATTTGTTAACGAAACAATTGTTGGACAAAATGAATTTAATAAAATAGTCTATTGTCTTGGCCCAAGTGATGTCACTTTTTTTGCTCTTTGCGACAAAGAAGGGCAATCCAATCCAATTGTGATTGTTGTGTAATACGTAAAAAGCAAAAGCTCGCATTGCGTTCTCGGTTGTAAATTTGTTTTATTATTTATTTTAAACGATGATAGTAATCATCACAGAAATTTTCCAAAAATTGTTGCAGAGTCATCAAAAAGTCAAACCATTCGTTACACGATTCAATGTCTATTTTTTTTTGTAGTTCTAATGAGTAATAATCGGGATTCATTATATTTTATTTTGCTTTTACACATAATAGAACATTTGGCATTGATCTGGAGAGAGTTGTTACGCGTCCATTAATCAGAATACATATTGATATTATTATTTAGAATAAATAACTTGATTTGTAAAATGCTATCCATAAAATATATTATATAAGTGAAGAAAGATGTGACTCTAAATTAACACAAAAAAATTTTAAATCATGTACAAACCTATTATTCCTTTCAGTAAAATTACAAATGTATTCAAATAATATTGGTGGTGCATTCTTGGATTCCATGTGATTGTACTGGCTATTTTTTATCATATATTTTAAATATAATTGATTGATTATGATGATTAAAATAAAAATAAAATAACAAACATGACTTAGCTTTTTATTACTATTTAATTCTTTCTTTTATGCATGACCCACTGTTAGATGTGTCTATTGGCATAACAAACAATTGCATCACCCGAGTAATAATGATACCAAGACCATGCAGAAGTAAAACTTTTAATGTATGTCTCTAGGGTTTATCAATAAATAATAAGTAACTCTATCTTCCCTTGGACTAGGTACTATTAGTTCTTTAAAAATCATGAATAAATCTGATGATATTGATCACAAGTGTCAGATTTAATAAGTTTTCCTATTACAAGCATACAACGACCATGCTTTCGCACGCCTTCACGCCATGAAATGTTTTACATGGTTGAGCCACGGGTATGTTTGAAGGCTTTGGACAAGAAGGATTTTTAGCCAATGTTGTCACCAAAACAATTGTCATTATTAATTACAGCTGCCAAGGTAATTTAAAAAGATCCAGAAAAGTCGTAATCTGGTGAAATAAACAAATTGTCGGTGCCACTGGCTTTAATACATCTCCTTGACAATGATCCAAATTCACAAACTTCAGAGCTAAGCACCCCCCCCTGAAGTTTAGCCATGTTGTACGTGTAAATGAAATTATGTGAATTCGCAATTCACACATGTGAAATTCAAATTTACATGTGTGAAATGTGTGATTCATTTCAATTTTATATACAACAGCATCATAACATTCGGGGAACGCAAGTCATGTTCGCCTTAAATCACGTTAGGAACCAGAAGAATGATTGAAATGACTTAAATATAAGTTTACGGTTGCGTATCAAGTTGTTTTACATTTCCAAAGAGCCCAAACGCGTACGGTTTTTCGTATGTGAAGGTGAGATTATGTTGTTTTTAGCGCCTCTGACATTTTTTATTATTATAATTAATGTTAATATTAATAATAACAATGAAACAATAAACTGATAAAAACGACGCGTCTTTGAAAACATACCAAAATGTTTTGAAAAAAAAAGATGTGTTGCATAATAAAAATTTCATTAAAAATTTTCCGGGTGGGCTTTTATCCCTTAAACTGTAGCACAATTTTTATGAAAATGATAAATTCGATACTGGTGTCACCAATTAATTTTGGGAGAGCGTATTTTAATTGATGATAACAAATTTTTATTATTTTATGAACTAATTTCTTTCTTGCGCTAACTAATAACTAACTAAATAATGAATTGAACCCCTCAAAAAAAGGAAAAAAAAAATTTTTTTCGATAAAATTTACCAAAAAATCTATCACAAAATAATGATTCAGTCAAATCAACATCAACACAACTTAATATATTTTTCATTTGCTCACTGTCTCTAACACCAGACCAATTTTTATTGATATATCTCAATGAAGTATTATTTAAATCTGAATTATTAGTATTCCATCCCAACAACAAAATCTCACTCCAATTATTTTTGTCAATCATTTTAATAAGTTTTTTTGTAGTCAAATCTTTTAGTTTCTCCAAATCTCTTATATCTGCTTCTGAGTAAATATCTTTTAAAACATTGAATGATAGCTGATATGTAACACCCCATTATGGCATGCCTACTTGCCAATAACTAATTCAGTTGGTCAAATAAAAATTAAAGAAACAGAAATTTATGTAATGATTTAATCAGCATTAACTAAAAATTAAAAATTATGACGGATTATTATTATTATTATTACTTTAAATTCATATATGTTTTTCATAGCCAAAAAAATTAATAGTTTTCGTAAATAGTTATAAAATAGAGTGGAAGCGTAATTAATACGATATTATCAAGATAATCTCAATATCCATGAAGTTTATCTGGAGAAACTTTAGTAGTTTTTTACCTTGTCAAGTAAAAAATAAATTATATAAATTAACAGTTAATTACAATCTCATCAAGATAACTTTGTTACCCATGAAATTTTATTAGAGGCGGTTTTTAATGTAACTGTTTATTACTCCTCTAGCATCCAAAAAAATAATTTTTTTAGATATGTAGGGTGTAAAACAAAGTTTACTTTCTATTATTGAAAAATTTAAGTTGAGGTCAATGACTTTTTTAATATACAAAGCAATTTCCTGCTCTATTATTAAGCTATTACGATTTTAAGAAAGATTTTGCATGTAGACGTAAATTATTGATTGGAGCATTCACATCTTTTAAATATTTTATTTAATAATCAATATATATGGTGGGTAACATTCCTAAAATAGAGCATTTATGAAATGTTTCTTTATCCATGTTTATATAAAATTTTAATCATGTGTCAAATGAAAAACAACTAAAAAGTTTATATGAAATCAAGTTTTTGATTTTAAATATTTACATTTTATTGTTGAATTCTATATAACTTTTATGATAAATTTGGGGGGGGGGGGGTTTTATATAAAACAAACATTTGTTAAGACAATCTTATTTATACATTTTTCTGTATTAAAATATAACAGCTTTGCAAAATAATTATCACCTACTCGATCAAGATTTTTTTATTAATGATCGCTATGAAGAAAATTGCACTCATTTCCTAAGGTACATCTTCCAGCTTTATAATACCAACATTCAGATCCTTTCCCACTAGTTGGTCTACCAGTTCCTGAACTAGAAGGGCCAATTCGACCTCCTCCCCCTCTATTATTATTATTATTTGCAGTTGCTGTCGTGATGTTTGTTAAATTCGTTGGCGGTCTATTAATAATTTGATTTTGATCATTTACTAAAGGTTGATTTAACAAAGGTAAAGGTGCTGGCTGTTGTTTATTATTGTTGTTGCCATTAATAATTCCCATAAATTGTGCAGATGGATGAGCATTACTAGGTACTGGGTATTGATTAGGTTGAATAGCATTATTAGGTAATTGAAATTGTGTGGGCGAAGGAGCATTATTAGGTAATTGAAATTGTGTGGGCGAAGGAGCATTATTAGGTAATTGAAATTGTGTGGGCGAAGGAGCATTATTAGGTAATTGAAATTGTGTAGGCGAAGGAGCATTATTGGGTAATTGAAATTGCGGGGATGGATAAAGATTTGGTTGAACAGTTGAATTAGGATTATTACCACCAAAATAAGGAAATTGGAATGATGGTTGAGGTGGTTGATTTGGTTGTGAAGCATTTGATATTTGATATGGCGGAAGTTGTACAGGAAGTTGTTGTTGTATTTGAGTTGGAGGTGGAGGTTGTGGTAATTGTAATGGAGGTGGGACAGGGGCTGGTGCAGGAATATTAGGATTTGGATGATGATAATAATAATTTGGCATGATTTGATTATTACTATTACTGTCTATGCTATTATTGACTGTACCAATTCCTGGTATTAATCCTGCTGCGACTCCAATGCCTAAGCCGACATTATTAGAAGCATTTTGATTTGGATCATAAACCCATGAATTAGGATTAGCAAATGGTCTTATAACATTTGGTTGTTGCAGTTGTTGTTGTTGTTGATGATGAGCAGGTGCAGTAGCAAATACATGATGATGATGATGCACAACATTTTGAATATTATTAGGATGAAGCAATAACCATGCAGAATACGTATCATTTAAAACTTTTTTTAATTCAATTTTTTGTTTTAATTTTTCAATACTTTTTCCCTTTTTATTTAATAGAATTGTTTTTGGAGGGATTAGTAATTGACTATTATTATTATTATTATCATTATCATCATCATGATTATTATTATTATTATTACCATCATCATCAGATGGTTCGCGTGGATTATCAGGCACTTGATCAACTGTAAGATAAATAACTTCCAAGGTTTGTTTTTCACGACTTTCTTGAATGTTTGCTTCTTGACTATTGGTTTTACTAGACCTTTTTACTATTTTATTATTACATTTGTTATCAACATTATTACTAGAAGAAGAGGGTGACGGTTTTAATAAAAGTGGAGTGTACCATATTGTAGATGGCGCTTTTCTCATTCTCTTGAAAGCAGTTCTTCCTTCACTACGATCCAAATCTTTAACATGGCAAACACCAACAGGTAATGACGACATATCATCTTCCATATCATCAGGATATTTATTTTCAAACAGCTTTACTTGCTCGAGCATGTAATCTGGTGCAAAACTAACACGTTTTCGTTTTTTTGAAGAAGATGATGATGATGATTTAATTTCAGAAAATACTTTAACATCATCATCTTTATTATTATTACTATTATTATTAATTGGCGATAACGGTGATGGTGATGATGATGACGACATTACCTTTGTTTCAAATTTTTCAGATTTAAGAGTAGTTTTTGTAGAATCTTTTATTTTAAACACGTTTGATAATTGAGGTTTGAAAATATTTGAAGAAGAAGTAGAAGACAAAGAGGAGTTGCCAATATTTGAAAAATCAAACATATCTTCAAAAATACCTTTTACTACAGGTTGGTTTAATTCTTTTTTCATATCATTAATAATAGTTGACGATGCTGTTGCCGCTATTGTTGTTGTCATTGTCGCTGATTTATCTTTTGGATGATGTTCTTTTGCTTTAGAGTTTTTTATGTGAGAGTGAACATTGTTACCAGCAGATTCTGATAACTGTCTAGCATCTTGTAACCATCTATTTAATAATTTGGATGCCATATCAGCAACACCAGGTATACTAGATTCTTTTACCAATTTATTATTAACTACTCTACCCAATCCACAACTTGTTGAAACTTCAAAATCGACAGGCAGATGTTGAACTGTTTTCAATAATCTAAGAAGTAAATTACTATCGGGCAGTTGTTTTGCTTCTTCTTTTATCCAATTTCTTAAAATATAGCTACATCTATCATTTACCAGTTTTTGTAATATAATTGGATCATGTGTTTGAGTTAATATATTAATAACATGACCACGATCAATTCTTGGTACGTCTTTTACTTTACGAAGAAACTCATAAACATAGTCGGCAGATTTTATGCTCAAATCACTATTTAAATATTCTTTTATACTTTTAAAAAGTTCGGTTGTCGAGTCGGATACTGTTATTATTGGCGTTGCATTTTCTGTCGTTGGCATTTCTGATATTTTTGATGAGGACGTAGTTGTTGCTGTAGTAATCGCGGGTATTTCTGTCGCAGTTTCAGTTATAGTTGTGTTTATCGGTGTCGGAATTTGAATAGACGAAGGATTTATATTATTATTTTTATTGTTGTTATCATCGCCGTCGACAGTAACCGTTTGTGAATTTTGATTTTGGTTTAAAATTTCTGATGTAATTGGTAAAAATGGTGTTTGCATTGTTGTAATCGTTGCCATATCATTTACGTTTGCAATATCATTATTAATAACTAAATTATCATTAGAAACATCAGATATCATGGATATCATATTTTTACTTTCCATGACTGATTGATTAAGAAAAATTTTTTTTAGGAAAAAAAAACATTATTTAATATTTGTAGTACACATCAAGTGTAACATCACTTTTAATCCCACAAAAAAAGAACAGAATTGGTTATTCGGGATTGAGAACATTAGTATTAGGTCGCGAAGCCATTTTTTTCATTCAAACACCAATCTGTCTTCAACCATATTAATATTATATATATTATATAAAGTGAATATAATCTGTTTGACCTTTTAATTCCATTATATTATGCAAATGGCCGCAAAAAATATATTATTATTATACATATATATTATTTGTTAAAATTTTAATAATAATATTCGTTAAAAATATTTACCATTAATATGGTTAAATTAAAGCCATTAAACAACAATTACAATTATTTTGTTTTATTAATTTAATAATATTTGCTTTTTAATAATAATTGATTTATTATTTTTTCGAACACCAAGATTTTTCTCTATTATAAATAACCTTCCCTAATTTGTTACTGAAAATCGTTTGCGTGACAAATCGTTTGACTGATAATTCAACATTCCTTCATAAGTCAGGTGTCAAATAAACATATTGCAGCAAAGGTCGCCTTAACGAAATACTCATAGTTCGAGTAGATCCATGTGATGTAGTATAACAATCAGTGATACTAACTCCAGCAAGCTGTAAAATTTTCCGGTGTAAAGCGCCACAACGATTTCGGGAAAAGGTACAAGATGACACACTACAGAACTACATTTACCAGCCATTTTAGGTGACATAATGTGTGTGAACGAACCCCAGTAATCATGTCTAACAGGAATAACTGAAAGTTTGGCCAGGATGATTACACCACGAATTTCATTTAGAACATTTAACACTCGATTCAACACGACCATTAGAATAATCTATCACCAACAAATGCCTAAAATTATTTATTTATTTATTTAATAAGTATTATCATAAACATACATGCACACACAATATTATTGGTTATATTTGATCAAAAGAATTTTCACCAAAACGATAATCGAGGAAGGAACTACAAAATTTCTGAATCCTATAAGTCTCATAAAATGTCTGGTAACGAATCTTATAATTATTCAATGAAAATAAAATATTGTACGTCTAATAAAGAAATGAGAAATGTATAAGATTATTTTATTGATGAGTGAAAACTTGAAGAGGAATTGGTACTGTTTAATCTTGATATAAAAATAAAATATTTACGTGATAATTATTTCTTTTAAATGGGGACCTATGTATCTCTAAACCACTTGAAATTAGGGCTAATGACCAAAGGTCCTGAATTTTCAGTAGTTGAGGTGCTGGAATTATTTCTCTTGATCCAGGAGTGAGATCCAAGCGGTAGGGCTATGGATGGAGTAAACAGGACTATATATATCATTTATGCTTGCATCAGGATAGCATAATGGACATTTGATTTCATTAGCTAAATTTTGTGACGATCTCCCTTCCAGATATCGCGCAAAAATTAAATTTTATTGGCATGAATATTATTAATATTAATATCGGAGGGAAGGAAATTTAGTTTCGAATTGATAAAAATAAAATGTTTATAATAAATAAAAAAAATCAATATAATATTTCTTTATTGATGATTTTAATATACATAGGCTTGGTTTTTTGTTATACAGTCTAATATATTATTTACTTTCAACTTTTCATTGACTTCATCAAATCAACATGTCAATATTCTTGAAATATTCTACCATCTCATTGTATGAATTAGATCCAAGTCCCTTGTTATGTTTAATATTCCAATCTTTTCCAATGTTACTGTGGATTCTCCAATTTTTATATTCTGATGATGTAAAAAATAATAATGTTTCATTATTTTTTGTGCATTTGAAGAGAGGTGAGATGATCATGAATTATCATCCATTATATAATATTGTATATATATCTGACATTTCCTATAAATACAGAAATAAATAAATTGGTGGCATGAATATGAATATATGAATATTGAAAATAAAAATAAAAATAAATGCAAATATAAATATAAATGTAAAAGAAATATATTTTAAATAAGTTTTTAAATTTATACATCACTTTATAATTACACCCTGAGTATATCTGTTATTGTTGTTTAAAAATTCTTCTTGTTCTTTAAATGCATCATAAAAAAATCAAGATGCAACCCATTATATGGGGCATGCTGCAACAAAGTGAACATTTCAGGGTTCAAGATTTATGAAACACTTGAAAATACATTACAAGTATATACAGTACCTTAGCAAAAGTTTCGGACACCCCAAATACATTAATTACGCAAAAACGTACATAATAATTATGCGAAAAATTTTATATTATTTGGATCCTAGTATTCATGTATTTAAATATAAAATTTTAGATTCCCAGCTTTTATACAGCTCAAATAATAATAAAAAAACAAACTCCGATCATTTTTGAAAAGAAAAAAATATAATATAATTTTACTATTAAAAATGATTTTAAAATTTTATCAAATCTTTAAAAAATTGATTAAAAAAATACTATCCAAAGTTATGTAAAAATTTTTTTTCTCAAGAATTGGATAAAATTAAATCATCATATCTGAAAATCTCATAATATGTTAATATGTAGGTTTTTAAAAATTTCCATGTCAAATTTTTTTCTTTCCAAAAATGATCATATTTCTTTTATTTTAATTGCTCGAGTTCTAGAAAATTTAGTAACATAAGATTCTATATACATAATCTTTGAAAGCTAAGCTATAAACTAACATAAATTTTCTGTACAATTATTATGTATGTTTTTGCGTAAATGATGTATTTAGGGTGTCCGAAACTTTTGCTAAGGTACTGTATGTTTCCAAACTAAAATCAGTTGGAAGTTACGAGTTTTCATTAATAAATGATAAATAATAATAAATCTTTAAGTTTTTTTTAAAATATATATATAGTCATCATAATTAATAATGAAATAAATAAATAAATTTATTTATTTATAGGGTCATCCTATATGAAGGCTAGGCAAGAACACGTCTTGGAAGGTGGGTATTCAGATCATTCATAATGTCCCTCGATGTATGCTTAGGGTTGTTATCTTGTTGAAAGACTCATCAGCCACCTACTAATGCATCAACATTATCGTAAAGTTGTTCATTTAAAATTTTACGATATAGGTGGCGGACAAGGTTTTCAGTAAAGATATGAATACTGACCTTCCCTTTAAAATTGATCGCACCCCAAACATGAACCTTAAGGGGATGTTTTACCATAGGCTGGACAGGTTTCTTTTCACGAGACCATGCTAACATCGTATTGCGAAACAATTGGATAGTTGTTTCGTCCGAAAAAACAACTTTCTTCCAGATGTAATGCACATGATCTTGTGCCCATGACAAGCGGTTAATATTTGCTTGTTCTGTTAGAAGAAGAACTTGTCTGGGAAGAGTATCAACATAACCGAGGTTGAAAAGCTCGCGGCGAACAGTCCTCTCACTAACTTCGAGATCTTGGTATTTTTCTTCTAAAATAGGTTTCATTTCGGTGGCGGTCCTATAGTGGTTGCTCTTGACGATCATTCCGAGTTGGCACTGTTTTTTCCGGTGATAATTTTCGCGGACAACCTGACAGGTGAATTTCCGGAATCCTTCCATTTTTTTTTAATATGGTGACGTATCGTTGACATGTACAGTCTACTCTCTCTATAACGACCACTAAGTAAATTTTCTCTATAACGAACTTCCCTTTTGTCCCCGTTTCAATTTTTTATAATTAATTTCTCTCTCTATAACGACCAAAAGCAGAGAAATTGCATATAGGGACAGAGGGTTCGTTATAGAGAGAGTAAACTGTACGTAATGGGATCCCAGTTCTATTCGAAATTTCTTTCGGAGTACTAATATTTTGCTTCCAGAGAAAGTTCACGGCATTATGGTTTGCTTTAATAGGGTTCGAAGACATTTTGCAAAGGTAAAGTAAACAAAAAACACCGATGACGATCATTATTTCTTTTATTTGCGCGACTCAATCACAAATAAACATTATAAACGAACGTTTTATGGTATTATGCCTGAATAAGTAATTCGAATATTCGCGCCATTACTTTCGCCAAGAACTGTATGTGTAACAAATAAATTTATTATTATTATTATAACCGTAATAATTAATAATTGAATGAAACAAATAACGTATATTAACCATCTTTATGATAATCTAAAAAACAATTTCTAGTTGAGGAGCAACATAAAGTAACATTACATGCACTACAATAAATAAAAGAACGACTTTCAGACCTTTTAGACTTTCCTTCTCTTCTCATTCTTCTTCTATAGCTGCTTCTTGTTTTAATCCCACTTCTAACTCTTCTATTAAAAAGTTGAGTTTTCCATTATTTTGTCCTCACCATCCTCATCATATTCATCATTGTTTACTTCTGAATCACTAGAACTTTCAATTAATTCATATCATTTAATTTGTTGTAAACTCCACCTAGTCTTCTTGTCAATATTAGCAATGTAATAACTAGTTTCATCATCATAATCTTCAAAAATTCATTTATTATCTTCGGAAATATCCATAGTTTGTCCTTGGGTTTCAATTGGATTCATTTTAGTTTCTTTATGAAAATTTGAAATAAAATTGAATAATTTTGTTGACTATTTGACTATTTTCAAAAATGATTATTTTCAAAAAATAATTAAAATTATATTTTACTCATCTGAAGGAGCCTCATACTTTTGCAATTTATAGGAAATTTGGGTCAAGTTTTTTCATTTAAAAAAAGATTTTGTGTTGAATTTCGGAATTCCGGAGGACAAAATAAAAATAATGTAACAATCTGGTTCTATTTATATTTGGTAATTTGTGGTTATTATGAACGTATTGAATTGATTCCAGGACATACCAAATATATAAAATAAATACTTATTTCTTTAAGTATAATGATAATGAGAATATACAGTGCGGATCATCTATACTCAAAACTTAAAATTTTTGAAATATTATGTGATCCACACATTGGATTTTAAAAACCCGCCACCATTCAATTCAACTTTAAAAAGGGAGTCTATTAATCTAAAAAAAAAAATTTGTCACAAAATTTTCTTTTCATAAATTTTTTAAATTTGAAAGTTATGCGACAATAATTTTCGTGTTACAATATTTTTGAATCTCATGCCCAAATTTGGTAATGATTTTCTTTTAATGTAAATATGTTCGTTAAACTTTTTTGTTGTAAAGAACTTTTATTTATTAATAAAAAAAAGGAAATAAATAAATCAAATAAATCAAATGTATGTTGTAGAAAATATCCTATGAAAAAAAAGTTGTTACACGAAATTTACTTAGTCTCAATTTCTTAAATGTATAACAAAATTCGGAATTTTCAAAATGCTAAGGCTCTGCCAATTTTCAGTTTAAGAAAAAACCAGCCGATAAGTTTTGAAGCTTGAGTCATGAACAATAAAACTTATCGGTTAAATTTTTTAAAAATGATATAATTTTTTTTTGTTTTAGTATTTTGAAGTTGACCAATTGTTACTATAAGCAATTAATAGAATAAAGTCTTTATCTGCAAGTATAATAAATGACTTATTAATAAAGTAAAATGTTATCATTCATAATTTAAAAAAAATAAATAATAATAATAAATAATAATGACATACAAGATCACAGAAGCCTTAAAGGTAACTTATTGAAATCAAATTTATCAAGTTTTCCATAAAATGGGTTTTGTGCGCAGCCATGTGACTTTTTTCTATTCTAAATTCAATTGAAATAGCAAGTTCCACAATATAAAAAAGATCGACGAACGATTTTGTCACAAGTGATAAAACGAATGTCCACTATGCTCATCAGGATAGAATCAAAAGGTGTTCGTTCTATTTATGGTAAAGCAAATAGCATAAGAGGTAGGCTTCATCAATGCATGCTCCGGATCTAAAGAAAATTCGTAATCTTGTGGATGAATATCATCGAAAATTTGCGAAGTCGTTATGTTGTTTTAGATTTAACAAAGACATGGTCAAAAGTCATGGCTTTAAAAAAATACATCAAATAACAAAACGTGTGGATGTTGTAGATTCTTCAAAGACCTCTAGTTGTATGTCTTTCAGTTCCACCATTGATAGAATCCCTTCCTAATATGCCTTTAAAGTGTGTTACAAGAGTCGTTTGTAAGAATTTAATTTTAGAATTTTAGTGATACAAATTAAAAATAATAATAATAATTACAACTACTACATACATAAAAATAATATAGCGCAACAAATAGTATAATAGATGGATCCGATTCTCTCTTGGTTGAAAAGTATATAAATATTGATTAAAGCATGTATGTTTATTTGTTTACTTATTAGAGTTTTTGAATAAAAAAACCAAAAATATGTTTTTTCAATTTTTTTTTTTTTTATTAATATTTTTTTCCTCCTCCTTTCTCCTCTTCACTTTTCACCACTTTTCACCACTTTTCACCCTCAAATTCCGAGAATTATCAATCTTTTAAATCTTTTAAAATTATTCCTCTCCTTTTTCGTTTTCTCTTTCTTTTAAAATGAAAAAAATTATAATAATTATAAATTTAATATTAATTTATTATATTTATTGTTTAACATTAACTAAAACCAATTCTAACTACGCAATCGAAACCCCTATAACAGCCAAAGTAACCATAACAGGAAATATAAATGGAAAATTTTTAATTTACGATAATCTATTTGATAGTGGCACTCAACTAAAAGGATACTACAAGAATGGATTAACCCCAAGACGAGGAGTAAAATATGATAAATTATTTAGATTTTTTGTAATTTTAGATTATAGTTGTGATAATATAACAGTTAACGAATTCATGCATGAAAAATTCATTTGGAATACTGATGACTTTATTTATGTTGAAGTTACCAATAGCTTTATACCAAATAAGTTTAGAAATAGAATATTTAATCTAAGAAAAGGCAGCAGTAAAGTATTCAAGACTTCCACACATAGTTGGTATTTTGGTAAAGATTTACCTCATACTATTGTTGTATTCGAGAAATCTTCTATAAATAATAATAAATATAAAATAGCCGCGGTAATTATTATATTTGTGTATAATATATTTATGTTTAATATATTATTACTTATATACTTACATAACATATTATTATTATTTAGTGTGGAGACATGATTCCAGTTGAAAATTATAAGAACGATGAAGATATGATATTAATCAATAAAAAAGAAATCAAAGATATTAATAAATTAAACAAAGATTCAATCTTCAAAGAATATTTTAAAAATTACGATGATGAATATAATGATGGCGAGGCTGATGAAATTGCCATGGAAAATATAAATGTCAAATTCAAAACGTTTAAGAAATTTGTTAAGAGCTCTACGACTGAAGATAACATTAATCATGATAATAATAACAATAATAACATAAAAGATATAATGACCACCAATAGTATAGATGACATTAATACCACTGATAACGATGTTGACAACGACACTGACATTAACATTGACATCAATACTGATATCGATAACAATAATAATGATGTTGATAGAATAATTGATGACGTCACAGATACCAATTTTAGTAATGATAGCAACGATATTTTCAATGAGAACGTTGCAGGTAATGCTGATGCAAATATTATTGACATCAATACTGATATCGATAACAATAATGATGATGTTGATAGAATAATTGAAGATATCACAGATACCAATGTTAGTAATGATAACAGCGATATTTTCAATGAGAACGTTGCAGATAACACTGAAGCAGATATTATTGGCATCAATACTGACATCGATAACAATAATATTGATGTTGATAGAATAATTGAGAACATCACAGATACCAATGTTAGTAATGATAGCAACGATAACTCCAATGAGAACGTTGCAGCAGATATTATTGACATCAACACTGATATTGATAACAATAATGATGATGTTAACAGAATAATCGAGAACATCACAGATATCAACGTTAGTAATGATAGCAACGATAACTCCAATGAGAACGTTGCAGATAATACTGAGGTAGATATTATTGACATCAACACTGATATCGATAACAATAATGATGATGTTAACAGAATAATCAAGAACATCACAGATATCAACGTTAGTAATTATAGCAACGACAACCTCAACGAGAACATTGCAGATAATACTGAAGCAGATATTATTGACATCAATACTGATATCGATAACGACAATGATGATGTTGATAAAATAATTGAGGACATCACAGATATCAACGTTAGTAATGATAGCAACGACAACCTCAACGAGAACATTGCAGATAATACTGAAGCAGATATTATCAACAATGATATGGCAGACAGTTATAAATCAGATGATAATCATATTTCGACTGTTGTAATTCAGATCCTATTAACATTGATTCAAATATTATTAATTCAGATGTAATCAATCAATAATGACAATGATTTAGATAGAAATGTTGACAATAATTTAGACATAGATGGCAGTGACAGTAATAATATAATAGATATTGATAATAATGTGGATGTTAAAGAAGTTGATGTTAATAATGATGTAGATGATGAATATTAAACATATAACAATATTCAATATTTTCAATATTAATAATTATTATTACTATAGAAATTTAGAATAAAAAAAATAGAAATTTAAAAATTATTGTATATATATAATCTTTTTTTTTTTCAATTCTTGTAGATCCTAAAAATAAATTGATCAAAAAATACTTTCTTTTGCTAATATAAATTGTATAATATATGAAAAACGTTATCCATTTTCATTACCTTCATTGTTTTATCAAAGAGGAGGCTTAAAAGGCTGCGAATCGTTCATTTTATATATACTGATTAAATGAATTCAAAAAAAACAAAAATCAACACTGAATCAAAAGCAATAAAATTAATAAAATTTCGTAAAGAGCTTCCAATTTGGAAGGGTTGGTTTACTTTTATTTTGGATTCAAATTTAATTTATTAGCAACTCTTAAAATTGAAAATCTGATTCTACTAGAACGAAAAAAACTAATCAAAACTGTAAAGGAAAATGATACAATTATAATTATGGGTGAAATGGGTAGTGGGAAAAGTACACGTAAGTAAGTGAGTAGGTGATCCCATCCATTAAACTTTTTTCAATCAAATTATATAATGATTTAAAACAAAATTTTATAATCGTAGAAACACCACAATTTTTATTGCAAGCAGGAATTTCATCAAATAAAACAATTGCTATAACACAACCAAGGCGTGTTGCTGCAATTAGTTTGGCCAGAAGAGTTTCCCAAGAAGTTGGAACAGAACTTGGCCAAAAAGTTAGAGAAACTTCACAATTTTATATCTGAATTCCCTTTATTTACGATATATTATATTCATTTATTGGTTTCAAAAAAAACTTTTTAACAACAAGGTAGGATATTCAGTTAGATTTGATGACAAATCCTCTAGAAATACCACGATCAAATATTTGACTGATGGTATGCTCTTACGTGAACTGTTGTCTGATCCACTACTCATGAATTATTCGATTGTGATTTTGGATGAAGCACATGAACGAACAATGAGAACAGACATTCTTTTTGCTATGGTTAAAAGAGCGCAAGAATCGAGAAAAAAGATTGATAGTGACAACAACAACAACGTCAATAACAAAAGATCACGAGAATTAAAAATTATTATTATGAGTGCTACATTAAATGCACAAAAATTCGCATTATATTTCAATACGTAAGGATTTAAAGGGTTTTTTTTGTATTAATTATATACTTTATTATAGACATATATCAACAATAATGTTTTCTGATACTGTAGGAATACAATATTGCAAATTCCAGGACGACAATTTCCAGTCACTATTAACTATTTACCTAAACCACAACCTGATTATTTAGATGTTGCATTAATTACAGTAATGAAAGTTCACACCGAAGAGCCACAAGGCGATGTTTTGGTATTTTTACCTGGTAAGTATAGTTATTCGATTAATTGATTGATTTGTTTAGTTGTCTAAATTAATATTATTTATTATTTTCATCATGTGTAAACATACATACATACATACATATACAGGTCAAGAAGATATAGAAATTCTTGAAAAATTAATCAACGAATGTGGTACCACGCTACCTGCAGACAAAATGAAGGTACTGATTGACCTTCACAATATTTGTAAGTATTTTAACTATTAGATATTGATTACTTTATTTTTTTTGCAGGTTATTACTTGTTTATTGTTTGCTGCTCTTCCTACTGAGCAACAGACCAAGGTTTTTGATCCAGTTCCACCTGGAGCTCGTAAAATTATTTTAGCAACTAATATCGCAGAAACTTCTATCACCATCAGTGGGGTTCGCTATGTGATTGATACAGGTAAATGTAAACTTAGACAATACAATGCAAGGATCGGAATGGAAATTTTATCAGTTGAAAATATTTCAAAAAATTCTGCAAATCAGAGAATGGGAAGGGCTGGTAGAGAGGTAATATATGTTTAGGATCAAAAAGTAATTTTACTTTTCTTTTATTCTTTTCAATATTAAATTTTAAATCTTATTTTATATTTTATATACATAGTCACCAGGAATTTGCTATCGATTGTATACTGAAGAAGAATATAACAAATTGGAAAAAGATACTGAACCAGAAATTAAAAGATGTAATCTTGCTTCAATGATTTTGTTGTTAAAGACACTGGAAATTAATGATGTTCTTGAATTTGATTATTTTGACGCACCATCAAGAACCCTAAGTAAATATTATAATTAATATATATATATATATATATATATATTAATTAAGGAATTTAATACTTTTTCATATTTATCTATTTCTTAAAATTAGTTAAAAGGGCTTTGGAGCAATTGTATGTTCTTAAAGCCCTTGATAATCAAGGCAAAATAACAACACTTGGTAGAAAAATGGCAGAATTTCCACTCGAACCTGCTTATGCTAAAGTCCTTATTTCTTCACAAGTATATATATATAATACATTCATACACATACATCTATATTTTATATGCATATTTAAAAAATTATTTGTTTTTTTATTTAGGAAATGTCTTGTACTAAAGAAGCGATTGATATTGTTTCTCTTTTATCAGTTGATTCAATTTTTTTCTCTCCACAAGATCAACGTGAACATGCTACAGAAATGAAGAAAAAGTTCGTTTCACCTTTAGGTGATTTAATCACATTCTTAAATGTATTGCATGCGTATGAAGTTCAAAAAGGAAATTCAGACTGGTGTCAAAAAAATTTCATTAATAAACGCAACATGAAACACATTGTTGTAAGCAATTTTTACAATTATATACTATTTTTATTATTTTATTATTTAATATTAAATTAAAATATTTACGGAATTTTAGGATGTGAAGAGACAACTAATACAACTTTGTGAGCGTTTGGGTATTTCTCCCACGAATTCTTGTGGCAATGGATATGATCAAGTTTTAAAATGTATATTATGTGGATTTTATAGGAATTCTGCTATTTTACAACCTACTAATAATTATAAAACCATAGTAAATAATCAGGTTAGCCGGGAAATATATATAATTACGTACATCAATAAGTTTAATTTTAAAATTTAAATTAAAAAAATTTTTTTTTTTTTAATTAAAGGTTGTTAATATTCATCCTTCCTCTACATTATTTAACAAAAAAGTTGAAACAGTAATGTATATAGAATTAGTAAGTAGTGTATATAATATTAATATATATATTATTATTAACTATTTTTAATTTATTATTATTAATTATCAACATTGCTAGGTTTTAACTTCAAAACCTTATATGAAACACATATCTGCAATCCATAGTAATTGGTTGTTTGATTTAAAACCAAACACTTCATCCATATAGAATAATAAATTAACATTAAATTGTTCAATTATTTATAATAATCCTTGTCTCTTTAAGTCATCATAAGTTTTCTTATTAAAAACATTTCCGTCCAGATCCTCAAATTCTTCCATAGTATCTGCTTTGAATTCATCTGTCTTACTTGAACTTTTAAGTTTTTCCCATACTAGAAAATTCAAATTCAAATAAAAAATATTAATATATAAATTATATTCCAACTAGGAGAATTTTTTATTATTTGCTTACATGCATAAGCATCTTCAATTAAAGTAATTTCATGAAAATGTCTTGTATTAGGTATTCCCAAACATCTCATACCATGTGCATGTCTCCATTCCTATAAATATTAATTCAAAAAATTTTTGTATCATTTAGATTGTGCTATTTTTAAATATCAAATAAAATAAAATAAAAGATCATTATAATTTCTTTATTTCACCTGAAAATGCCTATCAAATGCTTTTCTACCCATGTAAACATAATTACCACAAATTTCACATGGATATTCTACACCAAGTCCATGCAATTTATAAAGCCAGTATGGAATTGGTTTACCATCCCATCCTAATGGCAACTTAAGTGGATTATAAATTTTATCTTCATCTTCTGACTCACTTTCAATATCGTCAACTTCTTCAGCCTCCAATTCCATCTATTTGTTTTTAGAGGAAAAAATAAATTAGAGTAATTTTTTAATTATAATGATATTTAATTGATTGATCGATTGATTAATTGATACATTACTCTACGTTCTCTATCGGTCAATGCACGTTTTCTTTCAACATTTGCCTTGGTATCTTCATGTTGAGCGCCTAATTTTTCAGAATATTTTTGTATCAAGGCTTCTAAAAATGCAATTTCACGTTCTCGCTTATCTTTATTTCCTTCAAAATCCTTTCGTAATTTTTCTTGTGTCTCATAATCCACTGTTGTAACACCCTTTTCCATCATTGTATTTGCAGCTTTAATATGTTTTTTACTAGTTAAATGTGCATCATAGACAGTTTTCTTTGAATATGATTTACAACCTAGAAATAAATTATTAAAAAGTTAATGAAAATGAAAATAATTCTTAGTAAGATAACTATCACATCACATCACATACATGCTACACAAAACAAATCTCCTGAAACGTTTGATCCAATTTTTTTTTCCCAACCAGGAAATTTTCCTTGGGACCATTTCTCATTAAATTCTTTTTCTACTTCATTACGTATACTTTCTAAATTGGATAAAGGTTTGACCCTTTTGAAAAAACTTTCTAAATAATCACGCAAATCTTTCAAGTATCTATAATCAAAAATAAATATCATAAATTTTTAATATATATAAATATTATATTAAAATTCTAGAATAATCAAATATAAATTTTACTTGAAATATTCTCCATTTTTA